CCAAAACTATCAGTAGAAAGGATTATATTCTTGATTTTTAATCAGAATGCCCCTGGTATACCAGGATATGTTGTACCTGGATTTATGTACTTTAACTATATTTCTTTGATTTCTTGGACATATTTTAAAATGCACGTATATATACTTTCTTACAGATATCACAAGAAATTTTCTTTGGCCGTGTATATACGCTTTCGCCGGTCAGAAGTTAAAACATTATTTATATTTTTGAACATAAAAAATTCTTCAGACATACATTTTTGCTTAAACTGGTGCAGCATTAGGGACACTTAACGCTGGGATATGTGAGATAAAAAATATGTAAGCATAAATTATAATTTAAATTAGCAATAGCCCCTCAATGGTTAATTTTAATTTGGGTATTTCACCTCTGTTCTAAAAATTGTAACAACCTTTTTCAGCACTGCAACATTTCGAGCTAATCCATGCCCTATGACTTTTACATAACGCTGGTGACTTACATGGAACTAAACTCAAACATCCAATAATAATTTTACGGCATTATTAATTATCCAGTCAAATGCACTAAAACCGAAACTAATTCATTCTGAAATAAGATTTCATCCTGAACACAACGCACGTTTGCTTCTACTCCTGTTGTCGCAAAGACTGCTGCTTGTTGATTTCCCTTCTTCCAAAAAGCAATGTAAAAAATGTAACTGTTCTTAAATATCCACGATTAATCTGCCAAGCATTTGTGGCCTCAAACCTCAATTGAAATAAAAAGGAATATTTAATCTGCCTTGACAACCAAGTTGGCTCTTCATTACGGATCAGCATCTCAGTTTCTACGCAATCAACGTTCTTACACTATTACATCTAAGTCTAAAACATTATATATATATACACACACATAAAAAAAACTTAATATGAGACAAAAATTAAAAGCAAAATTTTTTAAAACCCGTCCTGCGCTATAGCTACAAGATGAAGTAAAATAAACTTAAAGCACATAAAGTTAAAAGTAAATTGGAGTCAAAGCAAGGCAATTCCTCAACAAGATTAATAATTGCATCCTTGTAAAGGGGTTAAACATAAAATCTAAACAATTCAAAATAAAAATGACCATAGTAGTACAAACTCGAAATCTAAAAATGAAAAAGGGAAAATACATACAAGATTAATAAAAATATAAAAATTAATCTCCCTTTATTGAAACTCCAATTCAGAACTCATCAGGGGAAAATGAATTGAAGTTTCATAAAAGTTGATTAATATGCTTCGAAATCGTGTTTCGTTCTCCCGTTAAATTTGAGATCAAAAACCGAAAAAAGAAACAAATTAACATCACATAAAAACTTATAATACCGAAAAGAGTGAATCTCAAATATACCAGGATTTTCCCTACACGCCTTCGAAAAACTTGGAAAAAAGAATAAAACATAACATTGTTTAAAATTGAGTACAAAAGACCAAAACTTTATACATATTGTAAAATGACCATTCGAAGAAAACCAAATTGGTCTGAAAGCATTATGTGCAAATCCAAAATTCAAAATCAAATATAAAGATAGATCGCAATACAAATATACGTACTTTAAATCAAATGGTCAGTTAAACAGTAGTCTAAAAAGGGCGGTCCCCCATTAGGCTTAACTAAACTTTTAATTACAAGAAAAAGAATAACTTTTCATAGAGATTGCATTAAATAATAAAATCAAAACAGAGCCTACTTCGGCAAAAAACTGAAAGCCTATTAGAAACAAAATTGAAAAAACGCAAACTTACTGAGATCATATCATGTCCTTCAAACGAAAATTTACTTAATTCTTCAGATGACCAAACTGAGTTTCTTGTAGAATTCTTAGTGGCTCTAAAGAAGCCGAAGATGGTAGTTCTTGGAGAAAGTATGCGATAAGGTTCAAAGTGTCCAATAGCATAACAAAGCATTTAAACAATTGTTCAAAATATCCTATCCCGTTAAATGTTGTGTGTGAGGGTGTCAAACATGGATGCGGTTGTAAAAATTATTACCTCGTAGAAGGGTGATCGTCGAACTTACTGCCGATTGCAATAAAAAAGGAAGGTGCATAACTAGATGTTACAGCAGTTTCAGATACAAAATTTCAACGTTCTACAGCTAATCATTTTTGAGTTATGCGAGTTATATACACTCTTAGACCTGCTAGACAGTAACAATGCCTCGCATACAGGTGCGCGAACGATAAGCGCAGATGTCAGAATTTGAGAGAGGTCGTGTAGTTGGCCTCAAAGAAGCCGGTTGGTCTTATCGGCGAATTGCTCGACATTTGAGCCACTATTAGACGATATTGGCAGGAATGGATGAATCATGGTCGTACACAGCGTCAAGAAGGAAACGATAGAACGTGAAGACCGAGCAATCGTCAGAGCGGCACTCAGAACCCCAAGATGCATCATTATCATCGATTGTACGTGCAACTAGTGCTTCAGTGACCGGAAGGACCATTCATAGATGGCTCACAGAAAGGGAGCTGAGGTCACGGCGCCCCTTGTGCCAACTACCATTGACCTTTGTACAACGTCAAGCCCGTTTGCAGTGGTGTCGGGCTCATTCGCACTGGAATGTCACTGACTAGAGTAGAAAAGTCTTCAGTGATGAACCCCGCTTTGAACTCAGCCCGATAACCAGCGAAGGTGAGTCTGGAGACGCCACGGACAGTGGTGTGATACCAACCTGACTGTCTTCCGGCAGACAGGCCGACAACCAGGAGTGATGGTCTGGGGTGCCATTTCATTTCATAGTAGAACCCCTTTGGCTGTCATCCGTCGCAATCTTACAGTACAGCGGTACGTCGACGAAGTTCTAAGGCCCGTTGTGTTGCCCTTCATGTCACGCCACCCTGGGCTTACATTTTAGCAAGATAATGCGCACCCCAAACTGCACATGTTTCTGTTGCTTGCCTTAATGCTTGCCGAACATTACCTTAGCCAGCAAGGTCGCCGGATCTCTCTCCTATTGAGCATGTTTGGAGCATTATGGGCAGGACCTTCCACCCAGCTCGGGATGTTGACGATCTAACGCGCCACTTGGACAGAATTTGGAACGATATCCCTCAGGAGGACATCCACAACCTCTATCAACCGATGCCAAGCCGAATAACTGCTTGCATAAGGGCCAGAGGTGGATAAACGCGTTACTGTCTTTTTCACTTTGCGAAGCTCTATCACTTTAATAAATCGTCCAATTTTTCTCAAACTGTAATCATTTGTTTTTCTGTACATGTACATCACTTCTACTGATTTTCGTCCCATTCGGATAACTCCTTCTTGGTGCGGTTTTTTTTTTTTTTTTTTTTTTTTTTTTTTTTTTTTTTTTTTTTTGTCTAAGAGTGTTTGTAGAGATGGCGTACATAATGTATCCGTGCATTTCAGGCGTCAGAAAAATATCCATTTTGAATTCATATTACAATCCATTTCAGAATAAAGAGTCCTTTATTCTGCCTGTACATACAGACGTCACGCAAAAATAACTGTTGAAATTGATTTGGGGATGGTCAAAATGGATATTTCTGTTGAAATCTAATAACCGAATTTTTTCGAATAATATGCAATCGCACAGCCGTCTGAATGGACGAAAGAGAATGGCTTGAGAGTGACAGGTCAAGGAATGTTATGTGCAGGATGAGATCTTGAGACTGCTAGTTGCAACACCCTATGGGCGTGAGAGTGAATCGTGGTGGTATTGCAGCTGAGGATATAATTTAATACAAAAAACAAAATTTAACAATCAAACCTAGATGTTGCCAAATTGATACGAAATGCCCAACCGCGGTGAGATAACGTCCTAACAAAGCGGGGTTACGATTGCCAAATTTGACACGATATCGCCCATTTGATGATATTTCGCGACTAAACTGGCGATATGCCAAAAACGGAGCATTCTTAAGCGGTTTTCTCGGGAATATTCTCGAAGGTAGCTTAAAGTTGTATATACCTGCCTGTTCTGGTAGAAGATAGTGTAGTAGTATCTTGAAATAACTTGGAGTATCTTGGAATATAAAATAAAAGCAGGTTAATAAATGATTAAGGTTATCGGTATAATTCTAAAAAAATTCACGCTCACGGAATAATTTATAAAGCTTTTAAATTAGTTGAATTTGGAGAATATTCTGACATTTTAAAAGCACTTGATTTCTTAAAGTGTTTATCATTCTTTACACATTAACACATACACAATATATACATTTTATCAAAATCCATATTTGTATAGTACAGTAGTACCTTAAAATTCTGCAAAGCGTATTCAGAATTCAAATCACTGTTACAAGTTATCGGAAGACTGTCAAGAAGATGTAGTTTTATGCCCGGAACTGCCACTAAACTTTACTTTACTCTACAGAAAAGGCCTCCATCTTAAGGTTAAACCAATCGGAATGTGCCTGATCTGTAGAAACCATCTAACTGCGACTAAACGACTACTACTACTATAGACCAGGTTTCCGTCCTAAGATAAAACCAATCGGAATACTGCCTGATCTGTAGAACAGCGGCATTTATTAATTTCAAAATCAAAATTATAGTATGAATAATTTCATTACTAATCATTTGTGCTTTAACATGATTTTTCATGAATTAATGATGAAAAACTCATCATATTTTTTTCAGTACTTACTCCTTTTTCCATTAGAGTAAAATTAAGGAATAGTTTCCTTTGCAAATATTCTAAAGAAGAATATTTTTAAGGAACGAATCATACTTTTACTGCAGTTAATTGAAAAATCTGTACCAGCCCGCCGAGGCTAAGTAGATAAGACCACTGAACAGTGGTAGTTCGATGCGGATTTAAATCCTGGCGAACTAAATTACACGAACTACCATTACTAAACTACACGAACTGCCACTAAACTATATGAACTACTATTACGCATCCATCATTCGCAATGTTTCTTGTACTTTTCGATTTGTGCACAAGTGTCGTGTTCACAAGCGCCACAAAACCTGCGTACAGACGAAACAGCATTCCACAAATCCGCGCTGGACAAGATATAGCGACTTACCTCAAAGTTCGCTTCATCGTAGACATTCGATCGACGGTCCACCAGTATACCTTTTCTATGTATTTGTAACTAGGCAGATCTCTCCTTCTCAGAGCTTCCCAGAGTCTTCTGGTACCCCGTGGAAGACAATTAGTGATGCCATCGCCTTGCCAGATATGATGCGTAACTCCTACGCTCTCCAGAGCGCTGCGGATATAATCCAGATTTTCGTTCCCAGAAAAATCAAATCCTTTATTTGGACAAAATTCAAATTTATGTAAAATAATGCAGCTGCTCATTGCAATGAAATCACTTTCATATAAATAATAACGGACTTTCTTTTAATCGTAGGAAAACATGCTCGCAATGTCTTATCCAATTATTTTCATTAAATAAAATTTTGTAAATATTTTACAGTTAATAATTTTAACTTTCTACGCTGCTGGCCATTAAAACTGCAAACACCAGGAAGAAATGATGTGGCGAACGTCAAAATCACATGAAAGCAAAAAGAGGTTGGGATATGCATACGATTAGTATTTCAGCGCCTTCAGACGACGCAGGAGGGAGAAACGACATCTGAAGATCTGCATAAAAGAAAAGTTGTGTAATGGATTTCTCATTCGAAAAGCGCTTTGTAAGGTCGGAATTTTCTCAGAATATCGTGCTATGCTTCGAATAAGAAGAAATGCTTACCAGCAAGTATTGGAATTCGACAAAGGCAGGATGGTTGCCTATTAAGAATGTGGATTATTGTTCCGTGATATTGCCCGTCGCATTTGGTCGATATCCAACCACTGACATATGAGTATCGAATCACTGGATTGTTGAGGGTCATACTGAATGGCATGAACCCCCTTGTATGTCTAACGCCTGAGAGGACAGACATATTGTGAGGCCAGCCCTGCAAAACTGTACAAACACATCACCGAGGAGACCGCACGTCGCCTGCTTGCATTCGATATCGGCATAGGGAGCCTGCATTTGGTGTGCATAGTTTGGACAGCCATTGGGTACACGACACGCAAATCTCTAGTTCGGATCGAAGGTAATTTTAACGCAAATCGGTACATTTATGACATCTTACATCCAGTGGTTGTCTCTTATCTTCGAGGTATGCCAAACGCCATCTTCCAACAAGATAATGTAAGACCAAGGGCCCTAGTCTGGACACCGTCGAGATAGAAGAACGGGCCATTTTTTGTGATCTACTCGACAGAGAGCGAGTCTGGTGTCATCGTCTCGATCATCACAGAGATCGACGTGTCGGAAATTTTTCCGTCAGCTGGATAGCTGCCGTTTAAGTTTCTGACTGTCGTTTTAGAGCTAAACTGAGGACGGCGGTCACGGATTGTTTTTGAAAGTGTACGTAATAGATATTTTAATTTCTTACGATTTGTGAAAA